TCTCCAACTGATTGTTGTTCTGAGAATGTGTTAATATCAACTGACCCTGTTACCATGTCAAGAATTATTTGGTTTTCCATTTCTATTTTCTTATCAATTTCCATTTCCTACAAATGATGAGTATTTATTATTTCTTCTGAAAAATAATAAACAAACAATCTTTTTGATAATTTCATTAAAACCATCTTTTGTTTCTCGTTTGGAAATACACTCTTTTTCAAATAAACTTTTTAGTCCATTTTCACTACATTCTTTATGTTCTTCTTTAAAACAATCAAATGCCACTTTGTGGAACTCTTTGGTAATATCCATTTCTGTTTTTTTTTCGTTTTTTTTTTAAACTAGTAAAATATGTTTTATAAAGCAATTAAAATAATTTAATCAATGATATTAATTGTATATTCATTTTCATTCTTTTAAAATGTTATTTTATTAAAATTATTTAGACTATCGTTACACTCTTATGACAAAACATTACGTTTGTGTGTTAGTTGTAATTTTAAAACATCAAAGCTATCATCGTTATATAAGTAGTACGATATATGAAGTACAATATAGAAGGGAAATAGGATTGTTTGAAAAAAATTAAAATTATTTTATTATTTTATTATATTTATACTATAATTTATTTTTATAATAGAAAATTTCTTTTTTATATTTAGTTATTTTATTATTTGTTATTTTGAAGAATAATGAGACTTCCTTTTTCATAAAATCTTATCATTATTTATTTTTATTCTCAACTTCATGAATCTACCAATTAAACAAAAATTCTTGTTCTAAAGATTCAATTAATAATTATATTACGTTGTATTTAAATGAAGTACCTTTATTTATTCATTCATTGATAATTTATTGTAATGAATATTGAAATAATATGCTCATTTAAAATGATGAATGGTCAATTATATTATATAATGAATTATTGATTTAATTGTCATTAGCATTTAATATGACATATTGAAATATATTGAGTATTATTCAGAGAGAATAAGATAAATAAAACACTATAAAAGAAAAATAAATAAAGAAATTGATTTGGATTTAATGAATTTAATAAATAAATATGTTAATTTTAAATTATCAATTATTATTTCATTATTAATAAATAAATTATTAGATATAAAACAAATATTGGCATCATTAATAATCGATTTGATTATTGTTTAAGTTAATTTTTTTTATTTTACATATTATATTATTAAAAATCAGAAGGTAATACAATGATTATTAAACAATGAAATTAATATTAATATTGATTTATCATCATTTTAAATGATATTCAATCAAATTTATATTTAATTTTAAAGAAATATAGTTTAATGAGTTGAATGATAAGAAGTCAATAAAATTATATTTATCTGAATATATAGAAACTATAAAACAATAAGTATCACTATTATCAAAAAGGTACAATGATTTGTATTTGTGTTGATGATACTTTTATTTATCTTGATTTTGTAATATATTGTAATACATATTATATTTTAGTTATCTCAGAATGTCATAATTTGTTAATATATTACATTTCTAAATGAACAATATTCCTAGTAATAAATATATTTTTTGAAATTTTGTTAAATAATATTATTCAGTAATTTATTAATAAATAAATTTTGATTATGATATAACCAAAAATCAGTAATAATAATGAATAATTTTAGTTAACATACTTATATTTTATTATTTAATATATTTGTCATAATATTATTTTCATTTAATATAACATAACATTAAATCTTGTTCAATAACTTGATTTAGTATTATTTAATCAATTAAAAATCAAAATAGAATGAA